AGCAGTTTGGTGACAAAACCAGAATACATTTGTTTTCTGTAGCAGTTGCACTTGTATTTTAATAGTAAATAACTGTCCCAAACATCTGATCTGAACAGCTGCAGTTGATATAAAAGTTCAAATCCATAATCTCCTTTGAGATACAGGCTGTGCTGAGGAGAAACTGTTGGCCATTTTCTTAACATGCCTGATTATTTTACATCTGCCAATATGACTGATCTGAGCCCCTGTTCTGCTACTCTTTATGTACTCTAAGGCTCTGTGCCAATGGAGCACTTATGGACTAGCCTAACTTCAAGCCTGTGAAGGACTTTATCAGTGTCGCTGTGATCACTTGAATGCTTTAAGCATGTGTTGAGTGTTTTTCTTGCTGAGGCCTGCGATTGCCTGCTTGTTAAATGCTTAATTCCCATTATCTGTATACTTTTTAAAAACACGTGTACAGATAATGCAGCAGGGTCTTTTCTGCGCACAGAAGTCACTGACACAGTTTTGGGAAGAGAGTGTTTATCTCGCCTCAGCATGATTTTGTAGCCATTGTGTAGCTTATCTGCTGTCTCTTACTGACCTTTTGTTCCTCTGAGAACTGCACTTGAAGTGGCTCTGATTATTTGTCTTACTGTTATTTGTAATACTGTTATCATTTCTTCCCCCCACCTCCATTCCTTCCCTTGATAATGTATGGTCAGGTTTGGGGTACTGCCAGACCTTTCCCTGAAATGACAAGTTTTCTTTTTGTTCCTCTGTTTCTGTCATCTTCATTCTTTAGATCATTATTGAACTACTTGTGCTCCTTTTACTACCATCGTGCCACAATGACATCTGTAGCTGGATAGATGTTAGTGCATGGGCCGGACACAAAGCCAGTGAGCTATTTAAACCTTACAGAAGTGGTACATGGCTTTGAGGAGGACGCAAGGAGTGTGGTTGGGCAGATGGGCAGATGCTCCAGTTCCTCTGTTTCTGTGTCAGCTGTGTGCAGAGTGTAAACAGGAACTTGAGGGTGTTGCTCAACTGCATGCTCAGCTGCAGGCGTTGTGTGTGGACTTCTCCCTACCAAACTCCCCAAAAACATTGCCTGCAGGGCTCTTTCATGTGTTTTTAGTTTTCTATACCACGCTCTGGCTTTTGTCATTGTCTAGTTCACGTGAATTCTTATTTGTGTCTTGTTGTGATAAATGGAGCAACTTCAGGGTTTTTCTCTTGGAGAAATTAAGCTTAAATTCAGTTGTGTGACTAAGCCTATCTTTTTCTGAAGACGTGATTCTCACTTAATTTGATAGGATTTTACATCAATTTTAAGAAGTGAAAGTGGAGGATACTTTTCAGAGTTATTCCTGCTACAGAAAGATAAAACTTCAACTTCAGCGTTTATGTCCTTTCCTCCCTCAGATATGAAATGTCCATCAGATTTACAGTTTAGTATACAACATTGCTTATAATCAATAAAGCACTGAATAGCTTTGGTTCCTTGATACAGAAAACTGCTTGGTCTTGTATCATTAGCATTCAGCTTCAAACTACTCTGTTCTGCTGCCAAGCTTGGCTGTGCTGCAAAATTTATCACTGACAGGTACAATAGCTATTACAAATACTACATTGTGCTAAGGAGAGATTCATGCATTGAAATGAACAAGCTAAGAAAATGAAATAAAACTGATCCTATTTGTGTACAAATGTTTGATTGGTCTTTGCATATTTTTTGTTGTGGATAACTTTAGGATAGCTAATATGAAGCAATACTTATGGAAGTTCTTGTGTGCACTTATGTAGCCTATAAAAGCTAGTCCACGGTGGATTATGTTTTAGGAGCTGAGCAGATGAGAGAATCCAGCTCATGATTTTAGTTCCTAAGTGGACATTGCTAGATGGACACTGCTTAATATTGTTTTAATTTACCTGCCATGTGAGGAAGTGAGCTTGCATAAGACATCTTTCCCTCTGACCTGTGACAACCAGGGTGTCACGTAATCTGTCTTTTAGGTGTTTTATGTCTATGCCCAATCTGGAAGATTAAAACCCACTGCAATGGAATTTGGGGACTATGTACATCATGTATGTTTGACAAAACCTATGCAAATACAAAATGTAAACATAACTTATTCTGGTGACCAGTGGCTCTGTGCCTCTCAGTGCTAGAAAACAGCTTTCAGCATTCACATTGCAACTGCTGCACTGATTTGTCCACATTTATAGCATACTTTGAAGGCAGTCCAAAATAGTTTGCGGTTGATTACCTCTTGGGCATGTTAAAAGTGATATTTTATTTTACAGTCTCAGAGTTATGTTTCAGGGAGAAAGTGTAAATACCAGTAGGGTTTCTGTGCTGGTATCATTTTGAGGAAGTGATGAATCTGTTGCTAGTTTACAGTATTTAATGCTGGTAGGTTTGATAATTGGTAAGTTTGATTGATAAGTCTCTTTGAACTTATTTTGTATTAATAGTTGAAAACCTGAAAATAAATCCATTTAGAAGTAGAAACATGGGTCAAATAACATGATTAGCAGTATTAGGAGTTCTTGTGATTTTTGTTGCCCATATTACAATGTGTAGCAGTTTCTTTTAAAGGCCTATGTTCTGGAATCATCTGAATAAAGCAGTAAAAGAAAGGTGGGGTTTTTCTGTTTCTGTAAACACTGCATTTACAGCCCTTGAAGGTAGAAAAGAAAATTGTGAAAATGTGACTCCCTAAGGCTGAAAATTACAGAAATAAAAGTAGGTGTATTTCAGAAGTTGTACATATGATTAATAGCAATTCTAAGTTTAAAGACACAGATCTGACTGCTAATGCTTTCTTTATTTGTGTTTCATTTTGGGCTGCTGGCTAAATGGCATACAAGAACCTTTGTAGACATAAGGGGATTGCATCCTGTCCTTATTTGTGGTTCCAAACCATTCTCCAGAGAGATCCTTCTGATGAGTGCGGTGTTACATTGTTGATGCAAACTGCATTGCAAAGTCTGATTTCCAAAAGCATCTGAATTATGTCACTGCAATACTTACAGTGGAAAATGTTTCCAAAAGAGACACAAGGAATGAGGAAAGACATCATAGAATCATAGAATCATAGAATAGTTAGGGTTGGAAAGGACCTTAAGATCATCTAGTTCCAACCCCCCTGCCATGAGCAGGGACACCACACACTAAACTGTCGCCCAAGGCTCTGTCCAGCCTGGCCTTGAACACCTCCAGGGTTGGAGCATTCACAACTTCCTTGGGCAACCTATTCCAGTGCCTCACCACCCTCACTGTGAAGAACTTCTTCCTTATATCTAACCTAAAGTTCTCCTGTTTAAGTTTGAAGCCATTACCCCTTGTCCTACCACTACAGTCCCTAATGAAGTGTCCCTCCCCAGCATCCTTATAGGCCCCCTTCAGATACTGGAAGGCTGCTCTGAGGTCTCCACGCAGCCTTCTCTTTTCCAGGCTGAACAGCCCCAACTTTATGATTCTATGATGTCTTTCCTCATTTTAGATTGGATTTGTTTTGATTTGATCTATCTGTAAATGGGATATCAGAGTAAAGACAGTGTCCCTGAAATGTCTGGTGGAACCAAGTGATAAAGAAGTTGAGGTTTATTGGGAGGAAATATGTTGTTTAGGCTGTGAACTTTGTTCTTTCACTAGTTGAGATTGCATTTCTAATTATAAACAGAAATACACATAGAAAAATAAACACAATCTACACATCCATTGCTCTTTATCACTAACACTTGCAGTTATTGACCATGTTTTGTAACTGTACAATCTATGGTTTTGTAGGATGCTGAGAAACGAACTCCTCTTCATGTTGCATCATTCCTGGGGGATGCGGACATCATCGAGCTTCTCATTTTGTCAGGTAAGGTAGCACCCCTCACTGTTATTAGCTGGTAAAGTAGCTAATTATAAAGTTACAAGGAATACCCAGCAAGGCATATGCGAGTGAGCTTTGGCCAGTGTCTGAGTGTCATAGAGCTGGTCTCAGTTGTTGCAAGCTTAGAAAATATCTTTAAATGTGGCAATACAATTACAGGACATGCACTGTGACTGAGTGGAATTAATAAACAAAGCAACTAGGTTTTTAAAACATCTAAACATTCGAACTGACAATATCTGTGGCTCGCTGAAGTATGTGTTTGAAATGCAGGCTCACGTCCTGGAGTACAAGCCAAGAATTCCTCTTAAGCAAAAATTATTATGGAATAATAGCAAAAAAGTTATGAATGAGTTTGGATGAATTGTAAGTGGTATTTACATTAGGAACATGGGTCTAAGAGTTGGGAATTTGATTTGGAGAATAGAAATCGTGCAGTAGGAGGTATCTAAACAAAAAATCAAGAGATGTTTCCAGGCTGTTGTAGTGACAAAAAACATGATCAGAATATGTCAGAACAAAGCATAAAGCAGACACCTCTCAAGAAGTGCACACAATTCCTGGCGAAGTCCTGGATGTGCTTGCAGTTTTTTTCTAAACTGGAGAAGTGTAAGGGTGAAGTGACGGGGGTTTTAGAATGTGGGATTGAAAGGATCCTTATGGTACAATTATCTAACCCCTTGAAAGCAGCCTTGCTATGCGATTGGTTTCACAAATTATCAGGCTGCTTCTTCAAATATTGTTGGGGTTTTTTTTTTACTTTGTTATTTAGAAAGTTATTTCAGAACTGTCAGTCCTGTGATTGAGACACCTTCTAATTTCCAACCTCGAATCCTAGGATAATTCAGGTTGGAAGGGGCTTCTAGAGGTTACCTGATCCAGCCCCCAGCTTAGAGCACCAGCCAATTTCCCAGGTAGATCAGATGCTAATGGGCACATGCAGGCCACACAAGGATATCCATGCCTGGAGGAGGCAGAAAATGAGAATTCAGTTTGCTGTAGCTATGCATTTTCTCTATACATTTTTTAGGGCATTTTGAGTTGTCTGATTGCTTAATGAGGGTAACTAGTCGGACATACATCACACATCACATCTTTCTACTCTAACACTGATGCCAGCAGAATGATTTAAATAAACATTCCTCTGTGGACAGGTTATGTTTGAGTGGGTTTTCAGTACACTAAATGTAAACATGATTTTCTTCACCGGTAGGTAAGAGTTAATAAACTTGATCTGTGCATGTGTTCTTGCAATGTGTGTGTGGTGTTTGTCATATACTGTTATTCCATTGTGGTGTGCGAAGATTGCAGGAGCAATGTCTTTTTTCAGGTTTTGCAAGTTACAGCACAGACAATAGCCACATAAAGAAAAAGGTGAAGCCATTCTGCCCACTTCTGCTTCGAATCCCAGTAGCATAAAACGTGTCCTGGTGAACATTCTTGGTTTTGATCTCATTCCTAATGAGGGAAGCAGACTTTCGAAGTGTTCTTGTGGGACACTTAGTTCCAGCATCTTACTGACAAAATGTCATCCACAGGCTCTAGTGTTTGTCTGGTTAACAGCATAAAATGCAGAGGATATGTCTTGGGGGTATTTTATATATCAAGGTGAGTGTGAAAAACTTAAAATGTGGGCTTTTAAAAATTGGACTTTGTCAGTGGAGCTGTGTTGGGGTTCAGTCTGCAGGAGCTGTCTGGATCTTCACCAACTAGCTCAGCTCGAGTCAAAATTAATCTTGTGTTGCACATTCTACCTATTCATTGTCCTTTACTCTCGGAAGTATCATTAATCATGATGAGTGTGAGTACTTGTATCCAAGAGCAGGTCTGGAGGTTTCTGAGGTTTAGAGAAGCAGATTTATGAGTTATTATAGACACCTCTTTGTTATTGTGATATCTCCATGAACTAGGCTCCAAAGACAGCTGAAGCATCTTCCCTCTGCTTCACCTCTTCATTCATTAAGCTGTTAGTAAGAGGGTATCAAAAGGGATTTATCTGATCATAAAATCTAGTTACATAAGTAGAAAACTTTGTTTTCACAGGGAGAAAGCACACAAATGCTTGCTGTTGGAGTCAGTAATGTTCTCAGCATGAGCAGAAGCTAGGAGGAGTAGCAACCCATTGCATTTTGTACAGGGCTTAGGAGAGAAATTAATGAAATATGCACATTCTGAGATTTGTGCCCCATTAACTGGTGGCAGCACAAATAAATGTAGTGTCTAATGTATAAAACTTCTTCCCATGTGGTTGAAGACAGACCAGAAATGGTTCTCTAGGTAGTCAGTGAAATGGATTCTGTTTGGAATTGATAGAGGAGAGAGAATGTCAGATCCCTGGTATGAATCAGCCCAACCCATTAAATGTCAGAGCTAGGTAGGTTTATGCCACCTCAAAGGTCTGATCCATAATCATACAGTTCAAACTGGGGAATTGTGCTGTGTGGTTTTGTTTTTCCAGGCTATGTGAAAGGAGGGAGCTTTGAGTACTACTCCTTCACCTACTTTTTGTGAAGAAGGAGAAGGGCAAGAGCAACCACCTCACATAAATGAAGCTCTGTATGATGACGCAGTCACAGATGTGCAAGAAGAACTCTCAGGGCAAATACAAGTTCCATTCTCAAGTGTGCTTGTGCCTCTCCCCTTCCTGGGCTTTCAGCTGGTGCCCAAGGGCATAATGTTTGAGCTCAATTCCTTACTCCTTGTTCCCCACCAAGGAGTTTACAATCTTGGCAAGATTACCATGCCTTACTATTTCAGGAGGCTCTAAGCTTCTTGGCAGGAAGTTTATGCACTGGGGGAGTGCATCCAATGTGGACATCCATCCTTCATCCTCCTTCATGCTTCATCATCCTTCAGCACAATAGCTGAGGAAAAGGACAAACCCCAGCATGCTTTGGAAGGCCTTCTGCTAAGCTCTGCCACATAGGTTTGGAAGCGAGACTATCACATGCACAGCAGGTTCTGGGTCACCCCTTCTGTGTAGGCAGCAAGGGAAGGTGCTGTGTAACCCAAACACACATTCGGGGCTTCTGCTTTAATAGCAGGCTAACAAATAGGTGGGTTGGAGAGGCAGCCTTCTCTCTGCCTTTCCCATGGCTTTAAGACTCCTATCCTTGGGAAGCAGGAGTATCCCCTTTGCATGGAAGTTTGGAGGATGTCTCCTCTCTCCTTCATGAGTGACCCAGGACCTGTGTGCTCTCACATAGTGGGATCCTCAGGCCATTTCTCTCCCTAACAAGTGGTTCAGACTTGCCTCCAAGGAGATCCTGCCTAACATGCTATTTCTACCATGAAGGTGTTTGGTTCCTGTGTTCACATCTAGCAACAGGGTTGTGTTGCTCTCATGTTTTGGGTCCCAGTTGCATCTATCAGATGGTGTCACTCTTAAATTTTATTTGTGGTGATCCTTGCTTTATATTGTGTGTGTGGTGAGGTGTGTGTGAATTCCTTCTATTTTTGTGTATCTATTGCTGTGTCTCATAGCAGGAGTTGGAAAGGTACATGTTAATAATGTCATGAATAGGTTAAAAAGTAGTTCCCTTCACTCTGTTGACTGTCCCTAATATCAGAGATTTAGACTGCAGAATCTAGATTTATTAGAGACCTTGTGGCTTTGGCAGATGTACTGGATGGAAAATTGTACTTTGGTTGGGATAAAGGGATGTTAACTTTATTCCTGAAAGCCAGCATCAGGTTGTTTATTTTGGATCTTGGAAGAACAGAGGCATTTTCAGATTTATTTCCTCTTTTGGCAGAAAAATTTGAGAGTGAAGGATGGCAAAGATTACAAAACAGCCATATTAAAGAAAAGTGGATTACAGAAAGTTTCCTCTCTGTTGATCTTATCTGTAACATTATATGTTACGTTGTCTACTTTAGCCTCACAGAGCAAATCCAACAGCTAAGCCTTTCCTTCAGTCCCAAGGGTACGAGCTCTCCCAAGGGCAGAGTGTAGAAGTGGGGCTGAGAAAAGGCTTTACTCTGGAGTGAGTTCTTTCTACGTGGATATATTATGGGGCGAGTGGGTGCTGTGGCTACCTGAAAGGATGTTAAGGGAAATCTTTAAAGCAGCTTATCTTTTCAAGGAAGATTGGGCTATGAAGGACAACATATACACCAATTTAAGTGTGTTATCAGCCCTCTTTGTCCTTATAAATACACAGATTAATTCACGGAATAATGTAGTAAGTAAGTGCATTGAAACATGGTTAAAGTCCTTGGTCTAGAGTGAAGAGAGGGACACTGAATTGCTGGGTCACTTTGAGGAAGTGTTGTGGGATGGATTTGAAAATTGAAGCTTCTGATTTTTGGACACAGCTCATTTTGGGTGCTTTAGCATGTTTGAGGACTTAGTCTTAAGAGTTGGATTTCTGTGCTGTTCACTGCTTTCAAAGAGCTGTCCCCTGGGCTGTCACAGGATGGACACTCAAGTTCTCAATGTGTACAGGATGCCTTTGAAAACAGGAGCATTGCTCCCTGGGTGCCTCCTTTAACATGGCAGATATTTTCTGTCCCTGAAGGACTGCACCAGTGCTGGTGAAGGTTTTCGCTGTCATTAACCATCGTCTGCGAGGAACTGCTGGGAACCGAAAAGGTGAATTTTGGCATTTGACAATGTCTCTTCAGCGGATGTGCACCTCAGTAAATGGACAACAGCAGCTCCTGTACCAGGTGACAACTGAGTTGTGCACCTCTTTAAAAACAGAAATCACAAATGTATTCAGCCAATGCATTGAATTAGAGATGTAAGAGCAATTTCACTTTGTCACATAAAGAGCCCCAAAGCACAGAGAGGTAAAGGAATGCGGAAAACAGCTGAGGAAGAAAAGGCTCGCAGCATGCTGTGTATTATTTTATTTATACTGGTATTGTTTTGCTTTTATTATTTTCTTTGGCTGTTTTCTTGGCAAATATTTCAGTTTCTCAAAGGGGCAGGGGATCAGTGAAAGGGGTGAATAGGTACTGACGGAGACACTGCCCTGGGTTTTCTAATCATCTTAATGTTCACCAATGATTGCTGGAGTTGTTCAGTACTGAGGAATGATACGTCTGTCACGCTTTGCTACTCCACACATAAACCTTTCTGATTTGCAACCGTCTGCTTGTATGAGTTGGTGAATGGGTAGAAATAAACCAAATGATACCTTAGTTAATAATATAAGGCAAAAACCCAAGGCATGTACGAAATAAATTTCTAAACCTGAAAAGAGGTATTTGGTACCAGTATTAGGAATTAATCGAGGCAGTTTGCATCCCCAAGATGCCTACCAGGCCAAATCAAAGTGCCTTGGAGTCCTGTCTGTCAGCTTCCTGATGGTGAAGGTTGTTGCCTTACAGTGCCTCTGAGCCTCGGGTAGTGTAGGCAAAGGGCAGGATGCTAACGTGTACTGACCATAATGGCCTTCTTGTGAAGACAGATTAAACTAACAGCTTCCTTGCTTAGGCAGATTCATTAGAAAACTCTTTGAAACTTGTCTTTTCTAAAGGGTGTTTTTTCCAGAGGGCAGCTTGTACCACCAGGTACCAGGTTCTGAGGTGAGTTCAGAGGATTGCCTTTAATTGTTGCAGTAGTTCGGAAAGTGGCTTTCTTTTTCTTGCAGCCAAAAAATTATATCCCAACTTGTGGAAATATGAAAGAACTTGTTTCTTCTCTGGTTGTCTAGTGCAATTCCCGGTAACCACTGTGATTCAGAGGCAAGCACCTTAATATTCCTGAGAAACAACTCTCGGAAAGTATTTCTGATTCAGAGAGTGTGATTTATTAATTACAGGCTTTTGTATGCACTTAAGTTATGGTGCAAAATGAAGCTTAAGAAGCCCTTTGTTCATGAAGTTCAGATGCTCATCCAGGCTATGTGAATGATGCTTATGCTTCTCTAAATGTTTTCCGCATGTGCTGCTCAGACTAGTACTGCTACCTGCAGACCAGAGAGGTACAGCATTTCCAGGTTAAGCCCTTTTTGAAATCAGCTTCTCTAGTCTTGTCTAGTGGATTTCCTTCCTGGGGTATCACATCAGTGAACAGCTTTAGTATTTGTTTTACAGAAATCTGTATTATCACACAAACATGCAGGATCTTTTTGTTTTTGTCTGCAGTGAGACAGAACTACTGTAGTTGTTAAATATTCTTCCTTTATCCTTTTTTCTGGCAAGCCACCTCCATCCCGTCTTTGTCAGTGTGCATATTAGCATTGAAACACACAGAAGGCAAATGGGTAGTCTCCTTCATCCCTCCTTTTCTGATGTTTGCTGAATAACACAAACAGAAGCTGAGGTAGTAAGTGCCCAGTTTCCTCCTCAACCTGAGCATTTCCTGGTCCTGTCTTCTCAATCCCAGCAGGATTTGTGAAGCAGAGAAGCAGTTATATCTTTCAGTGGTCTGCCTGATTGAGCTGGAAACAAGAGACTGTTGTTCAGGCTCTTTCCCCTCCTTCTGTTTG